TGTTCCCACTGGGTCAAGTGCGAGTTGCACGAGTGCGGTTCGACCCATGACGCGGCCTTGCAGTAGGGGCTCTTGATCGCGACGGTTTTGCCGTCGAAAGTACGGACAGTCGGATCGGCAAATGTGACGGGCTTCACCTCCCCGGTTTCCAAGAAGCGGATGAAGTGGCCGCTCAGTCCAAAGCAACGGTCAGGCGAGGTACCAAGGGTGTCGCGCGCCTTCTTAACAAAGGCTGCGTGAGCCGCGTCGACGCGGTCGCCGACGCTGAACGTCTTGACTTTCTTCTTATTGTCCTTGTCGTCCTTGTTGGCGTCGTCCACGGCGGCAGCTATTTCCTTGTCCGAGAACAACTTGCAACCTTCGCCTTCGTCCGCCTTGATGCATTCGACGTCCAAGTTCTTGCCGCGGCGGCCGACGAAGGACGAATCGGCTTTGACTTTGTACGCCATCCACTTTGTCCCCGTGGCCACGTCCGCGTCGTACGCATCCTTGGTCTCCTTGTAGTACGCGTCGCATGTCGCGACGATGGGAGGGACCTTTTCTCCTTTGCGCTTCTTCCAGCTCGTCGTGGGTTCCGCATACCAAATGTCGTGACTATCCGTGATTGGCAAGTGGAATTTGATCTTGCTCGCGTCGACTCCAACGACCTTGCCATTCATCTGGTACCCGACGCTGTGGCTCGGAGGCACAAACGAGCAGAGCTGTACCGTAGTCGTGCGGTGGGTGAAATCGTAGTCCGAGTTGATAAACTCGACGAATTGCGTGTTTTGGTCTTTGACGGCTTCGAGCAAGTCCGAGATCGCGTGGTTGAGTTGGCTCTTCTGGGATGACCCGAAGCGGCTTTCCATGTACCGAATGGCTTGGTTGAACGCGAGGTTGCCGTAGCGCCGGAGGAACGATGGGAGGTTCCAACCATCCGTGGCGTCTTGCGCCCACTCGCAGTTCTTGTTGTTCAACGCTTCGTCCAAGCACTGTCGGTCTTGCTTGCGCAGGACCTTGTTGTTGGCCGACTCCGTGAGGAAGTTGAAGAAGCTCTTGATGACGCAGTCGGCATGGTTGCGCGTGCTCGCCAGCGCGAGTTTCACAGTAGTGAAAGTCCACTGGTCGAACTGCGTCGTGATCGACAGCGCCGTGTTCACTTCACGCAACAACTTGTTGTAGACCAAGAGCGAGTCAGCCAGAGCCGCATCCACACACGAGTCGGTGGTAGCGCTAAAGTACCCGTTGTTGTACGTGCCGGTGGTCGTCGTCGCAAGCTCCGAGCACAAAGCTGTTACAAACTGAGACGTGCACTTGTTCACACGCTTGTCGCTCATGCAGTCGCGGCGAGACTGGGCCGTAGCAATGCACAGCGCGAGGTCCCCTTCGACCTTGCACAACTTGAGGTTGTCGTAGAACTGGTCGAATGGCTTCTTTGGGCCTGTTGTCGGCTTGGGCGGACGGGTTACCGTGTACCCGGGTTTGCCGTACCCAGACGGTTCCTTGCCGTATCCGTCATCGTACTTGGCAGGTTTGTCGCCGTATTGCGGCTGAGCCTTGTACCCATCTTGGGCAACGACTGTGGCGGCCACAGCCAGGCTGAGCAACGCTACCTTCATTCGAGGAGTCTTGGATTGGCGACCCGAGGAAGGAAATTGCAAAATACTACATTTCCCCTGAGCTTCTGTACTTGCGAAGCCCGAAACGACTCAAAACTTCGGCACCAATCTCATTATCCCTCAATTAATTGCAGCCAATGACTATCCCCTAGCTGTGAAACGGACGTGCGAAAAGTCACGCCGAAAGGGCGTGGTAAAAACGCCGAATGTATCACGACGTCTTGGCAGGGCCAAGAGCCAAGCGGCGTTGGCTATGTCATGCGCTCAACCAGACAATTCCTCATTGCCATTGCATTGTCGAGGTAAGCGCTCTGTTTTTGCCCGCGGTATCGCTCGAAGTGTCGAAGCTACGACCTTTCGTTGATGTAACCGTCTCGCCCCTGCGCCACCTGTTGAAACGGCTACAAAGCAGTGTGAATTGATTTTAAAGACTAACGTTATGT